ATTCATCTATATATACATATATGGTAAAAATGGGAAAATCATATAATTACAAGAGTCGACCCTGGACTGACTTGGATATATGGATGGGTAGGGTGATATCACTTCTGCTCGCTACTTTGGCGTTTATTGAATTGCTGTAGAAGATGAAAGGTTGTTGCCACCCTCACAGCCTGCGTGGTCGATATCTGAGTTATAGGGACTGGTAAGTATTTGGCAACCCTCGTATCTCTGGCTAATCAGGCACTTAAATAAAACCACTACCAACTGGGTTGTTTGAACTGATATCAAATTTAGTGCTGTTAAAACAGACATGGTTCTATTCACAAGGATACGTGAAATTCCAGATAGGATCGAAGCATATCAGCTTACAGCTAAAACCTATCATTAGGTTCCTGGGAATTGTATTGCACAGCAAACTGTCGTGAAGACTTAATGCAGGGGAGCGATTAAGAATGTTCGGCTGCACTTGTAGTCTCTGCCCGCTATGCTTCACTGAATTTTGTTCCGATTATTAAACCAATACTTTTCAATGGTGCTTGGATGTGGTGAAAGGCTATGGACAACATAACGGATCTAGATAGGCTGGAAAGGGTTCTGAGACTTTCAATGATCAGCATCACCGGGGTACTAAAAACGACAGCATTCCACCTTCGACAGACAGAGAACATTTCTAATCGACATCTAAAAGTCCAAACTTGCGTTGCTTCTAAGTGCAAAACTACTGCTGAATGTTGATTTTCAAAGAAGAGCATACACATGTGAAGAGGTTTGCGAGAAAGGAAATGGGAGGCGATAAAAATACTGTTGGAAAGAAGACGAGTTTACTTCTACTGGTTGTCAGGGCACACTGTGGCTTTGAAAGGAATGAGATGGCTGACGACTTCGCCAAGAATGGTGTGCTTTTAGAACAATACGTTAAACAATCCTGACAGTATGTTAAACCAAATGCTTACTTCAACAGCCTAGTAGACTCTGGGAATGCGCCCATGGCTGCAAACTCGCGAAAACTATGTGCAAAAGTTATGACGCTAAACTTGCAAAGTTTTTACTATCGGTGAGGAGAGTGGACTCGAGGCTCCTAGTTAACGGGGCATGGCAATTTGACGTCGCACGCTCTTAATTTATGTAGGTCTTTTTGAGGACAGCAGATGTAGAAAATGTATGGAAAATGTAAAAATATCGGAGCACGTAATCTGTAACTGTCTATAGGAAATATTACGCAATGCTTACCACTTGGCTATGATGGCCGTAAATAGTCTTGCGGAATTGGTATAAAACCAGGAATTTTTTTTTTGGATGGAAAAAGTGAAATAAATTAAAAAATCTCGACTTCATAGGATTTAAAAAAGCAGCCAATTTAATAATGTGATACACCCAGTACTTTTATGAGCATAATTTCTTCATTAAGAGAATTTGCTATTTTGGCTTCCAAAGTTCAGTTGAATTCACTTACAGCGTTTTATCATTATTATTCCATTAAGGCATGAGAGTAACTAGGGAATCTTCAAACGATCCCTCACTTTTGTCCCAATTGAAGGTAATTATATATATATATATATGTTTTTTAATATTTTTTAAATACTTTCGAAAAATTGAGTTACAATTAACCCTGTTTAGAAGATTTTATACATTAAAGGATTTAAAAAAATACGCCATACTGTTTTAGAATTTTTGACATAAAAAATTGTATTAATAATGTTGGTAAACATAAAATTCATAATGGTTTTTGCGGTCATTCTATTACATTTTTGTTGAGTCGTTTTTTCGAGTTCCGTAATTTGAGGTATTTTAATACAAATTTTTTCTGAAAATTGCGAAACTCACATGACCGATTAATGGTGTGTAGGGTATTCAGAAGAGATAATATTAAAAAAATTAAATAAAAATAAAGATACAAAGAAACATATGTACATATGTACATATGCATATTGGAAAACATTGCTAGCGTTACTTGTTACTTAGTTAGGCGTGTGCTGGGCAAAGCAATATAAACGTAAAAGCGCTCCATGAGTGGATATATTATATACAAACATATCTATCTATATATAAATATATATATATATATATATATATATATATAATTGTATATATATATATATATATATATATATATATATATATATATATATATATATATATATATATACAGCTACAACCAAACGTATACCGCTAATAACAACAATATCTCCACGCGCAAAATAAACAGCAGAAAAATAAATTACTACATATATATAATGTATAAAAATATATTCATATGTATGTTTGTATGTTTATATGTTATTTGTGCACTTGTCAACTAAATAAACTTGTTGAAGCGTAAACACAAATTTTGGAGCGATTTTTCGTCTTGTAGAGAGATCGATAATAATAGTATATTAATGAGTGTATTCCCATATATGCAGAGAGCATTGTTCTCTTACTAGTGTTGCCAGCACTTTATCTGCATCTTATTGAGCAAAAAAATTCTGAAAAATGTTAAAGGTTTAAAAGTCAACAATTCAATGGTCTCATGTGATTTTTATTAAAAAAATTAAATTACCTATTGGTAGAACGTTAAGAAGAAACTTCTCTCAGCTAAAGATCTAAGCAAACTTTCAATTTTATGTTATAGCTTATATGGAAATAATGTTTTTGAAAATAGATAAAATGTTGCAAAATATTTCTATGTCGTAATTTTCTTCAGATTCCTAACAGTAACTTTGCTTTCATAATTTATCTATTTTTATTTATTTTATCAACAATCTAACTTCTTGGATTATAAATAACAAGCACTGGTTCAAATTAAGAAAAACATCCAATATATTTCAGACATTCCAAATGTGATGGAAAAAGTGAATAAGAATTTTAAGCATTTTGCCCTTCAACCACTTTGCCATTTATAATATTTTTTTTAAATGCTGTTCTTTTGATTATTCAGAACTGCTTCAACAGAAAAGCTTTAATGGCTCTCGAAAACCCTTTAATCAGCTTAATTTAAGCAGATCTCATGTCAAGATATGCTTCTAAATGTAGAATAGATTTTCATTATTCTTAAATTTCTCACTGTTTTATAGCCAGTAAGTAGCAGTATTAAGTAGATTTATAGATCTAGTATGAAAGGCTCCATAAAAAGCTTAATAAATGATATGAAAAATTAAAAATTCTTATTATTTAATTCGATCTACAATATTATTCACCAAATAAGGCAGTTCATAATAAATATTCCGTATTTTTAATGTGTTTTTAAATCTAAATATTTTACAATGAATTAAATTCGCAGAAAAAAAAGAAAAAAATAAAATAAAATAATTATCCTAAACCTAAAAACAAAATAGATTTACTTATCTAGATAATTTTCATCAAATATTTATAACTAACAAAAAATTTACGTCCTATTGGCAATACTAATTAGCTATAAAATAATTTACTCAAATATTGCTAAAACTTTTTTTCTCTCTTGGGCGAGCAGATTGTTGCCGGCAATACGCCTGCTTGTAGAACAAACGAAACGGTAGCAACTTTGGCTACAAATAGTAATGTATATAAATATATAAATGTATAAATGTGTATAGGAGCATTAATTTGCTATATACACAAACAACTTGTTTACCATATCACTGCCAAACGTGCCCCCACATTGAGAGAGAGTGTCTTGAGTGGCGTTGAACCAGAGGTGCGTATGCCTAAAACACGCGCTAGCGTTTGTATGTTAGCATATAAATGTATAAATTATTATAATAAACATACGTTCTAGTAAGGTTTTCGGGTGATGGAAATACACGAAGTAGGCAAATTTTTACTGAGGTGTAAGTGGGGCTTCGAACCTCAGAAGCGAAAAAGGAAAATAAAAATTATTTTATAATAAAAACTTTAGAACATGATCCATAAGATTCTGAAAAAGAGAAAGTTAAAGAGAAAATAATAACAACTAGGGAGCTGTGTGAGCTTTGTGAATCAAGTGGGTTAATGGGAGATGTCATCGTACTCAAAACGAGTCCACATAGCGGAAAACATTTATTGGCTTTATACGGAGTTATTCAATTACACCTGTGGACCACAAAGAGCGCATCAGACAGTAAGTTATTATCGTCTGTGTAGGCCTATTTTCAAATATTAGAGGTTTCTCGGAAGAGAGAAGGTGTTCAAAGGATTATAATTTGAACGCGTGATTTCTGAGATGATTTGCTAAGGAATATCAAAACCAGTGAATATATAATACAAACTTTTTATAAAATTTGATTTTTAATGGGGCAGAGTCTTCGTCATAGCATATTCCAGAAATTTGGTCTAAAATTGATACATTTATGATACGCTTGCTTAAAAAGCCTGTTCTTTCAGTATTGAATTTCATCGATCAAAAAAAGGTATTAACAAATCAAAAATTTATATTAAATATATAATTTTCTGATTTAAAAATCTTTGCTCCTTATAAAATGAAAAATGTCAATGAAACAAATCTGTTTCTCACTTTTGGGAATACCTTCTCTCCTTAAGAATATTGGCCATTATTTTACGAAGTATTTGTACGATCCCGTTTCTTCGAACAAAAGTTTTTATATCTCAAAAACCTGAAATTATTACTGATGAGAGGGACCAAAAATATTATACAATGCTTGGCAAAAACAAAAAAAAAAAATGTCGCGGTAAAAAGTTACTATAGCTCATTTTTGATCTAAGAAAGAGTCGATTCATTCACGCAAACTTAAAAGAAGTTTCAAAAAAATAAATATAAAAAAAAAACATTATAGGATTTTGAGCATTAACATCGATATCAAACCATTTTGTATATGAAGAAACGGCTCATAAAGGAAAAGAAAATTACATTTTGAGATCTGAGAGATGATTCACAAAAGATATATAAACCATATTCTCTCTTGCGCCGCTTACCAACTCAAAAACAGTTTCGGTTTTTCAAAATATTACACCCTCGATATGGCATTTTTCAACGACGTCAGTGCTTGCGTAGATATACGTACATACCTAAGTTTATTTTCTGAACAAATTGATTCTTTAAACATTCTAGGCAGCTGAGCAGCTAACCAACTAATCAGGCAATAAGTTACTTCAGTGAGCTTCTTGACATTCAACAGTGCGGATCGTTTTTTGTGGAGCGATTGTGATCTGGTAAGTGGAAATAGTAAAACTAAGCAGCTTGAAAAATGTACATATAAACAAATATATATATTTATATGTGGATACGGAATGGCACGTATCACATATTTTTGGTGTTGAGTTTTTTTATCTGCGCTACATATATATATTTGCATATATATATATTTATGCGAATATATGTATTTGCTAGCGTGGAATAATTGATATTTAAATTGCGTAACTGAATTGATAAAAATCCACGCGATCAATTATTAACTAATTTAATTTTTATTTCCAATTGATTTATTTTATATTTTACAGATAAATACATATATCGAAAAAGAAATGGCGCTACGTATTGTCTTCACAATGCCCGTGAGCCGGGCTATAAGCCAAACTCTCGTGCGTGCCATGTCCTCACAGGCGGTGGCCTCCAAGAATGTCGGTTTCATTGGACTCGGCAATATGGGCGGTCACATGGCGAGCAATTTGATTAAGCAAGGACACAAACTACATGTTTTTGATATTTCCAAAGATGCCTGCAACAACTTGAAGTCCAAGGGCGCTACTGTTTACGATAAGACCACCGATTTGGCCAAGAACTCGGATTTTGTGATCACAATGTTGCCGAATAATGATATTGTCTGGAAGGCATACAATGATATGACTGCAGAGGGTGTCAATAAGAATACCGTCTTCATTGATTCATCCACAATCGATCCGAATTTGGTGAGAGAATTGCAGAAATTCATTAGCGCTAAGGGTGCACGTTTCATTGATGCGCCCGTTTCGGGTGGTGTACCTGGCGCGGAGCAAGCGACTTTGACCTTCATGGTTGGTGGCACACAAGCGGAGTATGATGCCGTGAAACCCATTCTGGAGGGTATGGGCAAACGCATCACATACTGTGGCAGCTATGGCATGGGACAGGCGGCGAAGTTGTGCAACAACATGATGTTGGCCATTTCCATGATTGGCACATCGGAGGCAATGAATTTGGCCATACGTCAAGGTTTGGATCCAAAAGTATTTGCTGAGATTATCAACTCATCGACCGGTCGCTGTTGGTCATCGGAGTTGTATAATCCCGTGCCCGGCATTACACCTACCGCACCCAGTAATAGCGACTACGCCGGTGGTTTCTCAACCGATTTGATCACAAAGGATTTGGGTTTGGCATCGGGTGTGGCGACCGCTACAAATACACCAATTCCGTTGGGCGCTCTTTCACATCAAATCTATCGTACGCTGAAGTCGCAGGGTTTGGGTAATAAGGATTTCTCTGTGGTGTATGAATTCATGAAAAATGAAGCGAATAATTAAGCAAAATAGTTGTGGAGAGCGTGCAGAAAGCCCCAGAGAGAGAGAAAGAGCGGGAAATAGTAGTGCAACTAGGAAATTAAAATACCTGTTGATACTATTTACATGCATACAAACAAACTTATTAATTCTTACAGGTATTCTTATGTGTATATGAAATGCTCATAATTCCTGATGCGACATTTACATATACTTTGAGCCAGACTTGCATTTATTGAACTTTTTTTTTATAAATAAATAAAAAATTTTCAAATAATAATAATTAAGATATTAAGTGTTGAGCATTTATAGGTAAAAATTAATAAATACATATATATAAAAACATATATATTTTTTTAATATATATATATACAATGCTTCAGTTGTTGTTATTTTAAATAATTATTGTTATGCAATATTAAATGGCAGAAAATCCAGATGAAGATAACAGCGAGTTCGTCGAGTGTCTACACACCTGCACACATACATACATACATGCATGATTTTGCTAAAATATTAGATTCCGAATCAACATAAAATTATTTCTTATCTCACGAGCGGATTTTGTTATCAGTAATCACAAAAATTTGAGATATTTTACACGTATTCAGATGTTCGTATGTAAAGTGGCATGTGTACTCATACATATATAACTCATACTAGTGCTTGCATAGTACTGAAAAGAGGTGTGTTCGAATTGCCCCATACACACATCGATACATACATATAAATCACAACAAGTGCTAAAGAAAATAAAACTCTTCTCGACGGCTCTGAGAAGCTTTTCGTTAAAGCTTTCTCTTATGATTTTCCTGCTGGGTTGTGTCACTTATCACACGGACTAGTGAGGTGCTAGCAATTCGTGTATTTAAATTTTTTTAGTAATTTTTTTGTTCTTATAAACGAAAGCTCTCATTGCTTAACTTTTTTTGGGCCAAATAAATAATTAAAAAATATTTACCGTTAATTTTGCATAACTGAATAGGTCCTTCTGAGAGACATAAAATACAAATTATCAATTTGTATCATATTCAAGATCAAAATGCGGCTGCTGAGCCTCGCAAAACTGACAAAATATCTGGAAAAAAGTGGAAAAAATCGATTTCGCAGCATTTGAAAAACCAGTCAATGTAAACAAAGTTCTTTTATAAGCATTATTTATTCAAAAAGTGCATAGGGTATTCTGAATCTTAGCATTCCTGGATCTCGAATGGTTAAATAACTTACAGAATTTTATTCAAGTTATTCTGTAAAGGCATGAAAAGTAAAAGAGAAATGATCAGAGATGCCTCACCTTTGTCTCAAGCGCAGTTAATTATCTTATTGTTTTTTTAATATTTTTGGAATCTTTTTGAAGAGTTGGGTTATAGGTGAACCCACAAAGGATATTTTATACAATAAAGGTTTAAAAAAAAATTACGTCATAAAATTGTGAATTTCGGGCATAAAAACGTTAGAATTACATTGAAAATTTTTTTTTCATTATTATTCAAATCCAACAAATTTGAAATAAAAACAAATAATAGCCAAAGAAAAAGTGTGTGTGTTTTGGATAATAAAAAGGAAAGCTTTAATCAACGATATATCAACTATTTTATTAAATGACTTCATATCATCTATCGCTTATTCAGCGCTTATTTTTAAGAGCCAGCACGGAATTGAACGTTTAGTCTTTAAAATATTTTTCAATTGAATTTTGTTAAATTTTGTTGGCGGCTGTTATAACCAAGTGCTTAACATGTCGATTGCCATTCGAAAGGCCAAGGTTCGAGTCGTAGTTCGACCAACATCCAAATTTAATATTTCCAATTGCGGTCGCCCTTCGACCGGGAATGTCAAATCATCCAAATGTTTTTTTCTGACATGATTTAAAAGCTCCTCATAAGAATTTAGCTGCAGTTGGAGGGCGGTTTAAAATGAATTATTGGTCTCTCCATTTGTTCAAAAAATTCCAAAACGCATACCAGAATTTGGAGGGTTGGGGTCCGGTGTTATCATAATGCAACATTTCACCTTTCCGATAGAACGACGGTTCAGGTAATTTTTTCTCGATTTGTGAGCTGAGTTGATGGCGCGTTAGTCAATAACCAAGCCACTGAGGTCACTTTACCAATTGTGTTAAGGCAGAGAGTTTTTCATCACCTTCTCAATTATAAAAGCTATGAGGTTGTTAATTTAAGCTAAAGGTACAATAGCTCAGCGAAACATTCAAAAAAAGAGTTCGCTCTGTTTTTAAGGCTTGACTGTAACATATGCAGATAGTGTTCAATGGACTATTCATCTTCTACGGTTCTAAGAGTAGTAATTTTTTCTTTTCTCGAGAATCAGATATGATCGCATTCAGCAAATCTTAAGGGCACCATAAGATCATGACCATGATTTTCCTGTGGCTAGACAAAAGATCACGACGGTAATGGATTTGTTCGAGACCTTGTTCAGAGCGCTTCGATATTGCATTGCCGGCTTTGAAGTGGCATATGCAGTATCCAATGCTTGACTATTTGGATATATCGCAATTAAATGCACGTAGACTTTAGCAGACATTTGGCGACTTCCATGGTAGCAATAAGTTCCGCTGGGAAGATACTATAGTGACTTGAAAGAATCATTCTCATATTGATTGAGAGCTTCGATAAGTAGTTTCCCCAGCCGACTTTGTTATGGTTATGATCTTAAAGGATGAGCTATTCGTTCTGATGTTGTTATGGATTAAAGCCGTGATCGTCAAAGCAAACCTTTTTGGTTATGTAATCCAAGCTCTTTTTGGACATGACACTTACTAGAATTTCTCCATTGAGTTACGTTCAATCTAATCACGTTGCAGTTTACTGATGCTTTGCCGTAAATGTTTTGAGGAAGGTAATTATAGAGATTTTTTTTTAAGATTTTAGCAGTTGTCGTTGGTAGAGCTCCTGTTATGAACACAGCTGAAGGCTTTTGAGGTCTTTACTATGACATTGTATAATAGAATAATTCGAACTAGCGCTCTTGATATTCAGACATCATCTATGGAGGATTATTCTACTTGATTCTTGTTTAAGTTTATTATAAGTTTAGTCCAAATATATAAGTACAAGATGGAGGACAGATATATCCATCAAAATCTACACCGACATGATCAGAACGATTAGCTGAGTTGATTAACAATATCCCGCCACCTTTTTAAATGGAAACTCATCACTAAGTTCATTCTTTAGAAGTTTAAAGGAAACTTAGAATGGGGCTAAGGCGAGTGTTCTTTTAGAGCAGGATGTGCCTACTTGTTCCGTAATATCGCCTAAGTGAGATCACTGGGCAGCCAGTTCAACCAATCTTAACCAAGGATGCGGATGTTCTTTTGAACTGGCCAGATCAGCTGACTGATGTGATTTTGCATCATATCTACCTCAATGGGGTATCAAAAAATGCGAAAATAGATTTTCACACATATAAAATGCATTTATTTTTGGGACTGAAAATCGTCCAAAACGGAAAACTCCATCGTATAGTCCCCTTCACCAATTTTTGAGATATGAGTATTGATATTAGATATATATATATATATATATATATATATATTATGTATAATTAAGGCCTTGTAACCGCTGAAGCGATTTCCGGCCGAGCCCCTTTTCCAATTTGTGGTTTTTGCCTACAGTTTTTACTAAGCAATTAAAAAATTTACTTAATTTATTATTTAAATTAATTTTCTATAATTTTTTGTATGTTAGTACGACACCAGGACTTGAACCCGAGTCTTCCGAATGGCAGTACGCAGTGCTAACCACCAGCTACTAAAAGGAAATGCTGTAAATTTGACATATTTTTCAAAGATATTAGATAGATTTCCGAAAACAGCAAATTCGTCCCATTTTCTCGATGTGCAGCTTAACAATTTTCGCACAAACAGAAAAGCGAGAATAGAGAGAGCAGCAAACGCTCAACAGCTGCTGGACTTTTATGACAAGAATTTTATTTAATTTCCGAAATTTACACTCTAAAGATGAGTATTCATAATAAGAAGAATTTATATCTATAATTTATAATTTCAGTTGTTTGTATACAGCAGCGACTAAATCATTAATACGATATTAAATATCGAACGATCTATATTTTTGCGAGAAAGTCGTTAAAATTTGGTTCAAAAGTGCAAAGGAAGAGCTACTGAGCATATAAAGTGTAGGTATGTATGAGTGTAGTTTTGATTTTTTAATAACACTAACAGAGTTCAAATCACTGGGTTCTTTTTATAATTTGTTAACTAAGTTTGAAGTTACTATAAAATGTTATAGTGACTATTATAAATAGCTCTAACTAAGAAAATATCACAAATCTTTTAAAGAATCTCTTAAATAGTAACTAAATATAAGTGTAAATATGTATATAGAGTATTTATTTTCATTTTACATGCAAGCAAAAGGAGTTTTAAGCTTAGCAAATTATTTACATATGGATTATTATAGCAATAATACGAAATAAATTCATTTTTATTATATGAAAAATATACAAGTGTAGTTTAAGTGGATTTAATAAATACTTAGTGAAGTATGTATGTGGCGTAAATATGTACAAGTTTGCTTACTTATATAATACTATATTATCACTCGAGTAGAATTGATTTGGTAGAGTTTTAAGTAAGAATTTTTTCGTTTTCTCTTTCATAAATGTAAATAGTGACTTTTTGCAATAAAAACCTATACGTATTTAGTATATGAATGATTGTATGCATTGTATATTATAGTAAGTAAAAATATAATATATTAATTAAATACTAATTAGTTTAATAAAGTGTAGTTTTGAACAATTAATTGCATGAGAGTAAATTGAATTTGTGTGAGCTTTGGAACTTGGAAGTGCTTTGTTTGTTCTTTGTAATTTCATAAAATTGCTTAAGTTTTCGAAAAACCACATAAAGTACGCATTAAGTTTTAAGATTTACTTTAAGTAATTAATTTAACTATGTTGGAAATTTCTTTTTAATTATCACTAAATACGCTTCTATTTACACTACTTTTCCACTAATTGGACTTTTTTACACTTTTGCTATAGGCTCTGCTCAGCTGATGCTTCAAATTGTCACGACTCGCCTTGAAGATGTTGCGCACCGAACGTGCAGTGGTGCCGGCAACATGTTGCGGCAACATGCCAACGCCGGCGTCACCTTCATTATCAGCACGCTGCTGTGCCATGGCAGCACTGTGGAATTGTTGCAATGCACCGCCAGCATTCAAATTAGCAATGGACTATGAAGCTTTCACTTTCTTTTTAGGATTATTACGCGACTGCTCGGTGGGCGCTGTGGGTGGCAGTTCACGAAATTGATTCTAATTAAAAAAAGGAGAATAAATTATTTAAAAATAAAAATAAAATTCTTAAGTTACTACTACTACTCACAATTTGCTCATCGTCCGGCACACGTGATAGGAAATCCAACAACTCGTTATTGGGTATCGTGTTTGGGCGTAGAATACGTCGCGAGAATTTCATAATGCCCCAGAAGAGCAGCAGAAAACGTATGGGTATGAAGTGTAAGACGACAATAGCACCAACCAATAAAACCACGGCTAGCCATGTCAGTTCCGGAACGGAGAAGTTGAAAGTGCTGATTAGCAAAAGTAAAGGGAGGAAAGGCAATAAATGTTATGGTAAATTACATATTCTGGTTGAAGAGAAAAAAAATGTGGTATCAAAAAAAAAAAAAAAAAACAAATAAAAATAATTATAAATTTTCCTGCAGCTGAACCTATATTTATGGATGCCAGTTTGCAGTTGCATGGTCAACATTTAATAGAAAAGCTTTAAAAAATAAATGCCAAAGAATGTTCTTTCAAATGATAATAAAAGTTCCCCCTTAAACAGGAATTTTCTGTTTTTTTTCTTTAAAAATTGGGTGACCTCGAAATAGATCACCCTCTTATTTGCTCCTTTCTGAAAGTTTCTGGAAAAATCATTTAAGGCAAGCTTTGGATATCCAGCAATGATTATCAAAAGAACTTCTCTCCTCAGATTCCCACTATCAAATTACAATGCCTTCAAGGACTTCTACACCCTACACATCGCGATCTGAAGAATTTTAAAATTCAATTTTCAGCAAATTTTTTATATCAGCTAACTAATTATCTTATACATCCACACCTTTCAATCCCACTTACTTTTTCGTGCTTTCGCCCAACGACGCCAGATAGCCAATGGTATTTTGCACTGTTTGTGAGACTTCCTGTATCGTTTGCAAACGCTCTTTTATCGATTTCTTCTCTTCCTTCTCCTTATCGTCATCGTCATCCTCATCGTAGTCGTAATCATAATAGCCTGCCGCAGAATCACCACTTGTACCGGTAATCATGCGCACCAGCCAGTTTCTGGAAAGCATATAAAAATTTGCATGTGTACATCAATACATACATACTCATATACATAGATAAATCATATCTTGCACTAAGTAATGCAAACGCACTTAATTATGATTAACAACAACACCAACGGCACTGTCGCCAAATTGCCATACACACAGGCCAATATCCATAGAGCAAAGGCGATGGCTGAACGTAACGGTGATTCCCATTCGAAGCAACTCCTGCAATAAAAATGTTGAGGCGTTCAAAAAAAAAAGAAAAAGAAACAAATTTGTTTGTAGCGTTTTTTATAAAATTTTTTATTTTCATAGTTTACTTACTGCACATAACGCGCCGAGTCCAGTATATACATAATGACCACTTTCAATCTGTTGACGTTACGCAGAAAAAGTTGACGCTTGAATTTCGCTTCCTGTTGTATCAGTTTCTCCTCTTTCGGCTGCAAAATTTGGCAAATGGCGCGTACATCATTCCAAATTACAGTCATTTCGAGGCAGATCTGGGTGGTTCGGATATTTTCGTTAAGTAATTGCAGTAAAAAAATTTTTAAAAGTGAGTGGTTTTAGTCATTACAACGACAGCAAACAGGACGGAAATTGACTAAGTGCGCGGTTGGTTGGTTGAAGTTTCTGCCGGTGATCGACACACCTAGGTCCCAAACGAGCCCATTGTGATGCCACTGTGGAGTTTGCCAAACTGAGCAGACGGTCGCATCTTAATCCCCGCTATCTCACTCAGATCTGCAAGGGTTGCCGCCCCTAGAGACTTCAACTCCTCCAAAGTGCGGGGCGTTCGCAAAAACAGTACCTTAGTGTTTCCGGGGCTTCTACCTGTCTGCAACTTCTGCAGAAATCAATAAATGGCACGCTCAATCACTCAGCATGCCTGTCTTACAAGATATGTCCTGTAAGAAGACCCATAACTATAGATATATCCTTCTTTTTCAGCTCGAGAAGGTCACTTGACTTTCTACTTTTCCATTCTGGCCATATTGTCTTAGCCACATTACATGTGCTGCGGCTTCTCCATCTTAAGTTGACATTATTGACCAATAACTTTTCCATGGAGACGAAAGTAGAAGGGAAGTGTCCTTCCTTGCAAGCTCGTCCGCCATCTCATTACCCGGTATCTTACTCTGACCCGGGACCCATACCAGATTCAGAGAGAACTGCTTAGCCATCGCGTTAAGTGATTTTCGGCAGTTCTCAACGGTATTGGATTTTATTGTTACAGACGCCAAGGCATGTAATGCGGCCTGGATTCTGGACACGATTATCCGAAAGTACTACCGATCTAAGACAGCTACAGTTTGGAAAGAAATGAACTATGCGCTGTTTCTAAGTGTTTTTAAGTTTCTGATGCTTGAAATTATTGAGCGAAAAAAGCAAATCGAAGTATGACTTCTTCACAATCAAATATATTACAGACCGGTACGGAATTATTTCAACGATGTTAAGACCCACGCGTTGGATTGGTTCGTTTTAGTTCTCCTCGACCGCTTTATTCGTTCTGAGATAAACATTAGAAGAAAACAAAGGTATGGCATCCCTCTGACAGAGGAATAATGGAGGAGGTTAAAAAATAACTCAGCAATGCTCAGACGACGCTTCGAAAAAAGCCGTTAAGTTAAATATGTTTAGAATCGCTACTAAACTACACAGTCTTGAACTGAGTTTTCTCAAACCTAATAATAGCAAAATAACATTTTTTAGGTTAATAAATCTTTATAACTTACTTGGGGCGACAGTCCTTTGGCACGCACGCACAGATTCTTGTCCTTCAGCGTGTACCAACGTTTAACGCCATTTTTGATACGCAGTAGCGGTATGATCAATTTACCTAGAAATTCGACACGATGATCACGATCCTCATCGTACACGGTGATCTCCAGGACTTGCGTGATGTCCTTGACGTTGCTGAAGAAACGAAAGATATTTTTTTGCTTTCAAATTTTTTCAGAAAACAAGATGGTTTTAGACTACTAATTTTAAATTTAATTTTTGTTATATTATATATATGTATATATTGTATGTATGTTTAATTACTAGTTTTCTGTTTTATCAAAGAAGAAAATACTCACAAAGTAAAAATCTTATTCCACGTCGGCGTTAAAGTCTTATATTCCGTTTGTGTCTGCAGGCGTGCATTACCCAATTCGAGCACACAAAATGGATCTGATTTGCCACCAATATCGGCTGCGGCCAAGCCCGTCGCACCGAAAACCTTCACCGTAAGATGACCCACATCACGTAAATTCTGAAAACAACGATGCCAACGATAACGATCGCGCATTATTTTCATTTCACGGGGATCCTCTTTGTAGGCCTTGAGATCGGTGATGGTTTCCAGTGCGGTGGTGCCACTGATGGTCAACATAAGAAACACCTCGCCCTGACAGTCCTCGAAGGCACGCCAAATGCCATGTGTGGTCTCACGTTGGAAAACGCTTAAGTCAATGTTGGCTTTGCCGTAGAGCGCGTTACGATTCCAGAGTGAGAGTTCGAGATTTTGATCCTCATCGAAGAGATGTAAATCGAATTGCTCCAGCCAACGTTCGGTCCAGGAAGACTTGCTTTTGTACTTCTCATTACCGAGTCTGTGCTTGTGCAATTGGTAATGTATATGGTGAGAGAAAGATAGGAAGGGAAGGGGTGGAGAAATGTTAATACAACATAAATTAAAGCATGAAATTAAATATTTTATACGCAATCACTTTGTTTTCATTGCATGTCAATCATTTGTTTGTTTGGTGATCTTATTGTTTCGAACGTAGGCTCACCTGAATTTAATATGTATGTCGGTGAGTTTGCTGCCATCGTCGGCCAATGGCAGATCTTTGGCTTTGACCAACAATATCGTGACGACCGAGCTCCAGATTTGTGATTTCAAACGCTTCGATGATTCTGCCAATTTGGTATTGCGCTGAAAGTGCTGCAGAATGGCAAGAGAAGAGAAGAAGGGAGAAGTGAAGAAGATATGAGTGAGAGTTGTAAAAATTCAAAATACTTTAATTGCAAAAAAAAAGTTATGTAAGCAAAATTAACAAATCTCTGAATTAACAAGGTCAGTAGACGCTCGACAGCTAACAAGACAACAATTTTAATATGAAAATACGAATTATGCACCCTTTTTCAGCACTCAGTGCGCTGGCGTGACCAACTAACTACCAGCTGCCCCCCCATACACTGCCCCCTCCTCTACCCTGCATGTGGCGTCGAAAGCAACACTCATACCTCCATTATCTCACCGAGCTCCTCTTGCAGCCGCTGCCGCACGAGCGTACGCTTGCGACGCAGTCGTTGCATCAACAATTCCGGCGTACATTTACCCAGCGGCCGACTGTTGCCGGCAGCCGCTTGTACACTGTTAACCCGCTTGAGCTTATCCACCAATGGATGCGGCGGTGTGTCTTTACCGATTTGAATGCTATTTGAATTGCAATAAAAAACCACACTGCTTTCTGTGCAAATACTGCCGCTGCTGTCACTATTACTACTTGCACTGCCTGTCTCGCTGAGCTCCATGGTGGCAGCGTTAGGGGCGATTGAAACAAGAAAAAATTAAATCAAATTCGTTCAAAGTGCGTAAAATTGTTTCGTCGTTTTAATCAGGCAATTTTGAAATCACCAAGGTGTTCTTTATTTATTTTTAAATAAATTTGGTTTTTTACGCAATTTATTTTGCTATAATTTTTATTTTTTATTTCTATTTTTTCATAGCATTTCCAGCGCAGCTTAAACTTCACTACCGACGTCTGAATGTTTTCGTGCAAAACTAATTTCAAGTCGAACTCGTTTGCTGGCTTGCTCTCATACTAAAGTTGAAACTTACAAGTACATACTTACATACATACATACATATATATATAAATACATACATATATCACATACAGTCACGCATAGATAAAGCTATGCATTGCAAGAACAGCTGATACTGTCGCTGATACTTGCACAACAATGTACGTGTATGTACATATAATATATATGTATGCCCCTGTAGGAAATCGAAACTGAAATACTGAACATTTTTGACTTCAGCGATTAAAAAATATATTTCAGAATATTAATTATATATATATGTACATACACATATTTAAATGGCGCTTTGTAACCGCTGAAGCTATTTTCCGCCGAGCTCCTCCTCCAATTTGTGGTTTTGGGTCTTGAGGGACCTACAGTTTATATTCAGCCGCCTCCGAACGGCTGATGCTTTTTTCATGATCAGCCTTTATTTCATGTCAAATATACACTCGTAAAGGTTGACATTCGCAGCCGAAGGGTGACCGCAATTAGAAAATTTGGCTTAATTTTTTATTTAATTTAATTTTCTATAACTTTTGGATGCTGGTCGCACGGGGATTTGAACCCAAGAATTCCGAATATTAATTGGCAAACCAAATTACAAATGAACGGAGATTGTGGCTTTCATAAAGCAACGCGATGAGACACCAATATCTTCTTTTTATTCTTCATTGGCGTGATCATCGCTTACATGATTAAAGTCAGATCAATGAATTTGCTCTTATCTCCGCAGTTTCCTCTCCAACTGATCATTTCAATAGAGTGGAGGTCTTTCCCTTTCTCTGCTTCCCCCGGCGGGTACTGCATCGACAACTTTTAGTGCTGGGGTGCTTACATTCATTTGGATAACAACACTGAACGAAATCAATGTCGACGTATAGCTCGTTGAGCTCATCGTTCCATCGCCTGCCATATTCGCCATTACCAAGGGGCACAGGGGCATAAATCGTTTGCAATCTCTTCTCTCGAAGACTCCCAGGGCCGACTCATCGGATATCGACATCATCCACGCTTCTGCATCATATAGTAGGACGGGAATTATATGGAAAACTATTGACTACCTCGAAATTATGACTGTCAATAGTGACTTGTGAATCAAGCTGTAAGTGCGCCGACTGTTTGCTTGATGGCATGAGATATTTTGTATCTGTCAGTTCATAGAGGGTCAGTTAATAAAACAGTATCAGTTTTGTAGGTATACCGAAGAAGAACGTAGCGGCATAAAGGCAAAATCGAACAAAATATGATGTGTATCGATTCTTTTTACATGAACCTTTTCGAAAATTTGGCACATGGTGAATATGTGGTCAATGGTTGATTAATCTTGCCTTGAGCCACACTGATGAGGTGCAATCAGTTCCTTGAAGTTCGCATGTATTTTTGGATCCCTATGTTATGGATTAGGCCGAGTAAACTTAGATTCCAATCGTCGAGCATGCTTTCGCTTCTTGGCAGAATACTAATGCATGTACCTTGCCAGCTCTTTGCAGCTATGTGGTATGCCATTCAGCAAGGCTTGTGGAAGTGTTTCCTCTATAAATTTTGTATACTCTGAGCATTTGTTCTTTAATAAATTATTTAGAGATTTAAGAATTTGTGATTTTAAAAAGTTTTTAATTTTGAGTTGAGTTATGATTAAAATTTTTCATTGCTTAAACCAGTTGTAGTTTTAAATTTTTTTTTTTGAACAAAAATAAATACATTTTTTTGCCTGCCTCGAAAATGTACGGAAAAAAAAATAATAATGATTACTTTCGGCCACTGTTTAATCGAAAACATTACTTACTGAAATAAAAAATATTAACAAAATACTTATATATTTGCTAGAACAGGATTTAAACTCATGACAACATATTTTTTCTACATATTTTTGTGTATATTTTTCGCCATTTTTTCTTTGATTTTTCCATGTTTTTTATTCATTATAAAAAAATATTCCTAGAGGGCATTTATGTTAATTTTAAATATATATGTGCATACACTTATATATATATATATAAATATATGTATATTTCATATGAATAAACATGAGTATATGAGCAATGATATGTTCGCCAAACAAAGACTATTCGAGTTACCACAAAAATATATATACACACTCATAAAATGTAAGCTAATAGTTACATCTTAGCGGGTTTTCCCTCAAACCATTACTCATACTCATGTACTCGTATGTAAGGGCAAACAAATATTGGATGAGTGCATAAGTTCGTGCCCGATTTTAAGTGCAAATTAAAATTGAAATTTTTTTAAGAAAGCGCTTTTATTAATCAATTATGTATTCGGCAATCCACTCTCAACCTTCAACTAATTTACGGATGCCTGATTCATAGAAATCGTGCGGTTACTCGTTGAAAAAGGTGTCAAGGTGGTTTTTGACGTCTTCCACATTTTTAAATTTTTTTCCATTCAAATTGTTCTGCAGCGATTGAAACAAATGATAATCAGAAGGTGCAATGTCGGGTGAATATGGGGGATGTGGCATGATTTTCCAATTCATCTCCAACGAAATATAATATGTATATGTTTCTTTCACGAGCGCGACTCTCAAACGATTCTAACGGCATCCAGCGGAATCGGGCACGAACTTATGCACTCATCCAACTTTACAACTTTGGCCTTATTTCTCTCTCTTCAAAGGGAGTAGGTCAAACTGGCAGGTTTCTAGAGATCCAAAAGATTTCATGCCAGAATTTTCCGAAATAAATAATTAAAAAAATGTAGAAAATATCATAAAAATATGTTTTGAGTAATTCGGTGTTTCATGTCCACACTATACATATGCTGGGGAAGTTTCTATACACCTTCCCAACTCTTTTTTCCATTTTCTCTAATTTTTAATTAGCTTTATGGCCTATTGCGCGTGGTATAAATAAAATATTTACTGTTACTTGAGCTCATATATATTTGTCACATTTTTTGTTTGTTTTGTCAGTCCACTTGTGTATTATGTTCATTGCGTATTCCTATGGGCTACTGAAATATGAACTCATTAGGGCTGACCTCTGATTCGGAGTTATCTTTGTTTATACAAATATTTATTTATTTTTTGTTGTCAATACTTTCACCACGCAAATTTATGGTTGGACAATTTTTATACACACACATACATATTCTTTCTGCTGCAATGCCTAATTATCTAAAAAATTCATCGTGTAAACATCACACGCGTCCACGTAATTTAATGTGTGAGAATAAATGTATGTAAGTATATTATTGGCAAAAAGTTAATTTCCATATCTCTATAGCTAATACGCTTTGCAATCATTTTAATTAACCAAACAGTTTACCCAGCAGACAATGCTGAGGTTATGGACTTGTAGTCGTTGTATTCGTACCACTTCGTAAGTTAAATAACGCTTCGGGGTAAGCAAAATCGGCTCGGACTTAGTTAATAGTTTCAGGAAAAGGTGCAGAAATCCATTAAGGGCATTTTAAAAATCGATTTTTTTTGGAATTACCCACTGTAAACGGTTTTCACAAAAGTTCAAAAAAATTCACTGCTAGAAAGTGAAATTTCACGAGAAATTTGTATAATTTGTAATAGGTCGGAATGTGGTGTAGTCAAACTTCTAACTTCAAACTTCTACTTTTGCGTACATGAAACGTGAGCCACCATTGTGCAAGATGCGGTAACCACGCCGTGTAGAGCCTTGGGTTGCGGCTAAAAGAGAGGAAGCCACTTCGATTTATTAGTTGAAGAATTCGCAGAAGTCTAAATTCAGCGCCAGACGTGTAGTCTTGAAGCAATCGGTTCGCTATATGTATGTAAACGTGTAAAGTTTTAAACTTACTCGCCTAGCGAGGTTGTGCACTGGGCCTAGAACCCACCACATGGAAACCAGCTCCGATGAAAAGCAAATCAAAGGCACGGATTTTACCGTACGATAAGCCTACTTAATATCACCTCTTCGCCGATTTTAAAACAGTCTTCGACAGCACGAAAAGAAGTTATCTTTACGCCGTTATATCTGAGTTTGGTATCCCCGCGAATCTTATACAGCTGTGTAAACTGACGTTGCGCAACACCAACAGATCCTTCAGGATAGGGAACGACCTCGGCGACCCCTTTGATACCAAACTAGTTTTAATACAAGGTGGTTCTTTATCGGCTGACCTCTTTAGCTAATGGCTGGACAAAATAATACGAGCTGCAGAGATGCATAAGGTACAACCTTCTATAACAGTGTACAGCTATTTTCGTATTACGATAATATTGACATTATAGGCCTCAATAAACACCCTTTAGTTCTAGTTTTCTATAATTGACAAAGATGCGAAGCGAATGGGTCTGTCGTGTTTCTTCTTCCCTGTTGACAGTCATGACTTTGAGGACGTAGACAACTTTATCTATCTTGGAACCAGCATCAACCGCAATGATAATGTCAGCCTTGAAATCCAACGCCGAATCACTCTTGCTAACGATTGCTACTGTATGGTGCGGGAGCGAGGACGATGACTCGACATCCGATAGGTGGCTCTCGGAATCTTTGAGAGAAAACTCTGGGAACGACTTTGGTGCTTACGACATTGGCAACGGAGTATACCGCATCCGATGGACCGATGAGCTGCATTAGTTATACGGTGACATAGTTTCAGCGAATAAAGAGACAGGGGCTAGGCTGGCTAGGTCATGTTGTCCGTATGAATGAAAGCGTTCAAGCTTTGAGAGCAATCGATGCAATCCCCTTTGTACACATATCGGAATCATTTAAAATTATATCATAAGCAGAAATTACTTAAGTTCAACATTTCAGTAAAGCGTATTTACTACCTTCGCGATATGAGAGTTTTTAGGCCTAACTTATCACTTTAAAAAAGGGGCGCGTTATTGTTTTATTACGCTCTCTTGTGCCACTCTGTTGTATGAAACAACGAAAGTACAAACAAGATTGATAGAAAATTTAGCGGTGATTTTGTCCATATACTTATATTTCGACTGGGGTTTCTGAACTCACACCGTTTGCATTACTTGCCGTAAACATAGATCTCAAAACTACTTTAACTACAACGAATGAGCTAATAAATAAAAAAGAATAAAAATCAAGAACGATTAGAGCTAGTTTAACAACACTATATGTATGTATATACTTTGTAGATTGTGTTCATACTGTAGTGAGCTTTTACATCAAGCTTTAATAATTACCCAATAATTAGTTTCAATCATACAGGGTATGTATAGATCGCCTAAAAGGCATTAACTATACCTCCAAACTTTGAAACTATTCCATCGACGATTTTCTTGCGATATTCTACTTCATAATAATTAAATTTTTATAAGCTTCCATGTGCTTCCTGCTAATTATTTGTATGATTCTTTTATATGTATAACAGTTTCCGGATGAATAATCACTCAACAGAGTTGGTAATTCGAACCATAGATGGGCAACGGCAGCACGTTTACTCTAGTGTATAATGTATGTATGGTGTAAAGGCTATTACTGCTGTGCAGCAGATTATTGAAGAAGACCCGAACGAGTTAAACTGTCATCGAGTGCTCCACCACGAAAGATTCTTGGCCTGCGGGCTTACAAAATCCAACTCATGCAAGAATTAAAATCGAACTACCATCGAACGCACCAAACTTTGGTGAATGGGTTCAAACTCAGTTGTCACGAGCTCATGAGCTTACTTTTGCTAGAGTAAGTATTTGTGGCATTTGGAGTGATGATAATCCACAAGCCATTATTAAGACGCCTTAACATCTACAAAAACTCACTGTTTGGTGTGTTTTATGGGCAGAGGGTCTCATTGCTTCATATTTCTTCAAAAATGAAGCTGGCCATAATGTTGAAATTTATGAGAAGCGACTTGAATCATTATTAGCGACTTGTTCGTGTCTGAATTGGAGGATGTTAATATGGACGATCTGTTGTTCTAACACGATGGCGCCATATAACTGTTGGTGAAGGCGCTATCTCGCAAAGTGAGGTTATATGAAATCACTTGTAAAAGGTGATTACCCCGGGACGATTGACATCTTAGAAGAAAGTATTGCCGAGAAAAGTGCCTCTCTGCTAGAATTCAGTCGAGCCACTCACGACTCACGACGTTCCCTTACCCGAAATCATTTCTAAACTATAATGGCAAAGCCTTATTCTTATAATAAAGCTAAACTCTTGGTCTTAACATTAAATTAAACGCGTTTCATTTCTTTGTGAAAACTACATATCAAAAAAAATACCGCTTAAATAACGATTTTTGGCGACAGCGGAGCCGTAATGATAACAACATTACGTACTGCTATTCGGAAGTCCCGTGTACTAGTCCTGGGGCGACGACATCCAAACGTTATAGAAAATTAATTTAATAAAAAATTAAAATAAATTTTCTAATTGCGGTCGCCTCTCGGCAGGGAATGTCAACCCCTCCGAGTGTACTTCTGGCATGAAATAAAAGCTCCTCATAAAAAAACCGTCAGCCGTTCGAAGTCGGCTTAGTATGAACAGAATAAACATAAAAAAGCAAAACCATTAATCATACTTTATTGTATTGTTAGCAAGTTGATTGGAAAGAAGTTAAAAATATATATAAGAATTTATTTAAAAAAAATACTATTAAAAAAAAATTAAAAATATTTCTTTGTAGGTATAAGCATTTTACACATTTCAGCACCCTATGATAAAGAGATTATGTGAAAGCTTTCATGCTTTGCTTGCTTGTACGCTTCTATTTTGATTTGCTTGGCCAAAATAAAATTTAGTTCTGCTTTTGACTTAGCTGGTTGCAGGCAAGGAATATTTCGCATTATTCTATTTGCCGCAAAGATATAATTTTCTTCTTAAGTTTAGTTATAAACTTTATTAAAAATAAGTCTCTGTGTTTATAACTAAAAATTTATTCTGCATCTGTTCGCCATTGTGTAGCAATGATTACAACAAAGTTTGCGCTTTTGACCAGCGCTTCTGGCCAAAATGTAGCGAAAAAGGCAATAAATCAGCTGATGGTGCGCCAATTTACATATAGTTCCACCCGCTGTCAACAAGTAAGTAAATCTGTTTGTCATTATGTGAATACTCTATAAAGGTATTAATGACAGCACTGAATATTTGAAGCTATATTTTTTATACAAGAAAAATAAAAAAGACTTAAGTAAAAAAAATTAAATAAAAATAGATTAAAATAAGAATAAAAAAATTGCTCCCTGGAAAATTTTTAATAATCAAACCCAAAGCCTAAATTTTGAGTCTCTGTAAATGGACTGTATTCTATTAAAAATTTTACCTGATTTTATTATTATTAATTTTTCATTTCCTTACCTTTTATTAAAAAATTTGACTAATATTTATTATTAACTGATCTTCTAGTGTCAACTAAGATAGAAGAAGCCCTCTTTAAATATAAAAAATTCTTCAATTATACAATTATATACAATTTAATATCAAATTTTTCATATGCCACACACTTTTTTAATTTAGGTTATAGCTTTGCTCTAGGTCATGGGAGAGCTTTTTATTTCCTAAATTATTGCAAGTAAATATGAGTCGGCATAGTTTTATGCTAAATCACGCTGACCAGTGATATTTTTGAGATAAACAAATATTATAGACATAGAAAAGCGTTTAACTTGTGACACCCTAACAGTGAGCTCATAAAAACATATATATATAATTGATTATAAAATTACATAAAAAAATATATGTTTGTACACACCAATCATAAATAAAAGAATATATATTTACCAATTTATTAGTTTTTCGCTCTAAAAACTCAAAGCTTTTAAAATTTACTAATACCGGAAAGACACTGTGCTCTCATTAATCACATAAAAGCAATTTCTATCTCGTTCACTCTCTCAAATGCTCAACTCAAATCAAATAAAATACTATAATAAAAAATATTAATTTTCTCATTATTGAAATAACGTGGTTGGCGGTTTGTTTACAAACAATTCTAAGCTTGACATACGCATGAGAAGACCCTGTGGGTAATATTTCGCACTAAATGTCATCCAGTTAATTTTTTTATAAAACCCATAAAAAAACGTTAATGTATGTTAACCTTTACACAATGAAAGTAAATAAAAAAATATAATAGAATAAATAAAAATAAAATAAATTTAAATAAAATAAAATAAAATAAAATAAAATAAAATAAAATAAAATAAAATAAAATAAAATAAAATAAAATATAATAAAATAAAAAAAAATAAAAAAAAATAAAAAAAAATAAAATAAATTATATAAAATAAAATAAAAAAAAAAATAAAATAAAATAAACCACAAAAAAAATTAAAATAAAAAACTTAAATGAACCAGAACCAAATAAAGAAAAAATTAAAAAAAATAAAGCAGAGTAAGTCAAAAAGGTAAAACTCAAAAATAAAAAAGTAATTTAAAAAATAATGATAAATAAATAAATAAAAAATTAAAGAAATATTACAATGGAAAATATAATAATTTTTAACTTTTAAGGTCGCTGTGCAGTATTTTGAAACAAAAGAGGAAGCACGCACTGATGCAGAATGGTTGAATGCCAAAAGTTACAAAGAAATACCTGGACCCAGTATTTTTGAATTACTGCGAACACAGTTTCCAGGAGGTAAATAACACTTTTGTTTGTTGTTCTGTTGTTATATAAATACCCTTTCTCTTTTAAACCAAAGGTGCATTGTACAAGACAAATATAAAAGAAATGGAAGATTATTTTCGCAAAAGATATGGTGATATTCTTCGTTTTAAGGGCACGCTGGGCAAAATAGATACCGTATTCACTTTCAATCCAGCTGATTTTGAAACTGTCTATCGCAATGAAACTATTTGGCCGGTGCGTTTGGGTGTGGATAGTCTAACGTATTATCGAGTAAGTAAGTTGACGCTTGTGAAAATTATTTGCGTTGCAACAACAAATATTTTATGAATATATATATTATTTCGTGATCATTTTTTTATAGTCAAGGACGTGCTTGGGGCGATATACGCAATAAAGTTAATCCGGTAATGATGAAAGTGCAAAATATAAGACAAAACCTGTCAGCAATCGATGGTATTGCACAGGAGTTCATAAAGAGGTGAGCGGTAGGAGAGGGAGAGTAAATTAATGTAGCTTTAGTATTGCTAGAGCTTATAAAGGTTACAATTTTCTTAAAACTTGAGTTTACATTTATTTGAAGTATTTCCTTATACATTTTTTTAAAAGCTCTCAGCATAGTGAGAACCTTTTTTTATTAATAAGCTTCTCTCAACCAATAACATTGATTTCAAATAAATCAGTTTATGAAATCAGTTAAAAATTTTATTGAGATTATGTTCCCTAAAAAAAAAATCTGTGCCAGTCCGTGGCGTATGAGTTGGCTGATGAAGGAACAAGAGCTTCTATGAGAGAGACATATTGACATGATCACCAAAATGCCAAAAATATATCGAGCGGTTCGATGCATACAATTTGATATAAATCGGATAATTCTCGCTATGGTTTCTTCATGCATCTTTTATATTTTATAAATTAAACTTATATATGTATTTTTCTGCCCCAAAAGTGGGAAAGTATTATATCAAACAAAGTGGTTTCTATGTAGTTAGAAGGTATATAAAACATAAACTAGTTTCAAACCCCACCAATGTAAATCCAAACCAAACTCCATCCGCTGACTTGAAGTAACTTAAGTACCCTTGTTCAGCAGGCCATTACGTTTACATTAAGTAGTGCAAATAATGCTTTATTTGCTCAGTGTAATATTAACCATTAAATTCACTCCACAGACTCGATTCATTATTGGATCCACGCACAGGGAGATTATCGAATAATTTTAGCGAAGAAATAAAAATGTGGGCATTCGAATCGGTTGCCTTTGTTGCGCTCAATACCCGCCTGGGGCTGATGACGCGCGAAAAATCCGATCCTATGGCGTTAAAGCTGTCCGACAGTTTGACAACGTTTCTCGAAAAATCCTACAATTACGATGTGGCACCCCCGTTTTGGAAATATTTCGAAACACCAGGATTTAAGCAACTCATAAAAGCTTACGATTCAATTACTGAAGTCACAACACATTACATTGAAAAAGCAATGGAGCAGTTCGATCAAAGCGCCGAAGGGAAGAGCGTGCTGGAGAAGTTGTATCGCATAGATAAGAATGTTGCAGTGGTTATGGCTATGGATATGTTAATGGCTGGCATGGATACAGTAAATGGAAAAATTACGTTTATTAAAAAAAAAAAACTAATTTCTTTCTCTATCATCGACAGACTTCCGCTACATTTATTTCCACGTTATACTTCCTCAGCAAAAACCCAGAAAAGCAAGAAGAATTACGCAAGGAATTAATAGCGCTGCTGCCCGAACCAAATATGCCCTTAACTGAGGAAAACACCAAAAATATGCCCTATTTACGTGGCTGCATTAAGGAGACGCTACGCTTTAGACCGATTGCCAATGGAAACTTCCGTATCGCCGGCCGTGATCTCGTGCTCTCTGGTTATAGGGTACCCAAAGGTGTTGGTGTGTATATGGCAACCATGACACTCTCAAACAGCGATGAATACTTCGAACGTAGTGCTGAATTTTTGCCAGAACGTTGGATCAAATCGGCGAAAGCCACTTGCCCAGTCTCCCAAAAGCACAATCCATTCGTTTACTTGCCATTCGGTTTTGGGCCACGCACTTGTATTGGCAAACGTCTGGCGGAGATGGAATTGGAAACGATTTTGGTGCGAATATTACGTAGTTATCGTGTCAGTTGGGTGGGTGAGAAACCATTGGAATATATTAACAACTTGATTTTGCAACCGGCTGGGGAAATGAGTTTCAAATTTGAAAAATTGTAAGATTTTTGGTTTATCTAATGCTTAAAGTAGATATTGTGGTAAATGGCTTGTGATTGTAAATATTTTATCATACAGTTGTATTGTGTTTTATAATCCTTACTTGTATCGTAAATAATCAATAATAAACTTCAGATTTATCTATTTATTTCATATACTCGAAGTGATTCATTAAACAGGTCTATGTATTAATTTTTTTCATAATTTTGAATAAAACTTAAAATGAAAATTATTTTCTACCCAATTTTTAGAAATTTCATTTTCATGAAAGCTTTATTTCTTATGAAGCTATGAGTGTCGTAAACTAGTTCTCTCAAAGCTTTGAATTAAATTCTATCGCACTCATCGCTCAATCTTTGAATGAGTAAGCAAAAATATAAAGAGTAAAAAAGTTTAGTCAAATTAACAACATTGTGTTCGTGTTGATATTATACGCACAGTGCTGAAATTATAAAGAGCTTTTACTCGAAGCTTTAATAATAACATAGAAACAAGTTATAGCAATACAGCGTGTAGTTTCCGAGGAAAAATTCATAACGTATATAAATAAATTTGGAAATTATTTTGATATCTTTTTTAAAAATTATTTTGAGGTTTATTAAATGTTCGATAAGCGAGTATTATGTACTGCGTTCGCAAACAACTTTAAGTTGCTTCCAATAAGATTTTTTTTCACTTTTTACCTTATTTACACAATTAAATTGTATCTTAAAGAAAAATGTATGAAAGATAAAAAAAGTTTTAGGGAGCAAATAGATTTCTATGTTCAGTGCTCTGTGCTTTCAGATAGACCAGTCCCGGATAAAGAATTCCCATATATTGGAATATGCGAAGAGTTATACATATATCTTCCACAAATCAAACGTCGAATCAATTTCGGGCTCACGTGTTCGGGAAAAGGATGTTTTCGTCGTTAATTTAGACAGCTACCTCTATACATAATAAATATGGTTTTTTCTATTAGATCGACTCCAGTTCCTAAGAAAAAAACAGTATTCAGCATATTAATGTAGGCCCAAAAGCAGCATCTGTCCCAAATTTCATGAAAATCTAACAATAAATAAACATTTAAGAATAAAGTCCGGAAGAAAAAGTTTTTCTTAAGTTAATTTAGGCAAGAACAATGTATCTAATTTTTTTTCGAACGATTTAAGAATAAAATCGATTTTTTGATATATATCTGATCGGATATATGAATAATATAGCACATTTCCATCCGCTACTAGAGAGAAATGAATTTATAATATAAAATAAAAAACTTAAAAAAGGAAGATATAAAATAAAATATTAAAATGGTTAAAAAATAAAAGGAGAAAAATAAATTAAGAACAAAAATAAAATAAAATATTATGTATTTATTTAAAGAAAAAGAAAGTGTTCAATCACTAACCTTCCATAGTTACGTGCCTATCACCCTGTATTATAGTGAGAGTGGGAAAGCTTTTATTTTTTATTTTTATTTATGGCTCTCTATTTTGGTTTGATTTCACAAAAAATGTGATTCAGTGGTAATTCTTACCTTGCTCAGAACAAAATGTTTTTGCATAAAAAAATTAAAAATATTTATTATAATTGTTACAAGTGAATTAAATAATTAACAGTGTGTTAAGTTAAGTGGTATACAAAGTTCTTTTCATTCATAAAAGTTTTTGTGAGTTTTCAAATATGATGAGAACGAACTTTACGCTTTTGACTACCGCCGCTGGTAGAAAAATAACAAAAAATGCTTTAGATCAGCTGTTAGTGCGTCGGATAACAAATAGTTTGCCATGCGCTCAACATGTAAGGAATTGGAAATGACGAAATAAATAGATTTTGTTTCGATATAACAAATAATATCTCTCATAACATGTTAACGAAAATACAGAAAATGATTTCATTTGATATAAGATTATATAAACACATATTAAGAAGAATAATGAAATAAACAAATAAAATTTCAAAAGCAAAAACATAGGAGGCTTTGTATTCCTTTTAAACTTTTTAATCTACAAAAATAAAAATTGACCTTAGAAAAGCAACAAATGTTCTTAAATTAATTTTATTATTATAAATCTTTTTACTGAAAAGCTCTTTAAGTATCGGAAAATTCACAAATATTGAAAATATTTCATAATACCCGATATAGTTTTATGGTAAATCATAAATACTCATATACCTATAGCTTTAGAAAGTACTCGTGCACTTGTACCGTAAAGGAAAAAAATATTATCGATGTGTTTTTAATCACATTTATCAATAGGCGAAGCTTTTGCAATTTGCCCATGCCCCAAAGATAAGATATTTTGATCTCAGAAATTCTACACAAACAACCCTAATTTTTTTCTGTGTTCGATATTTTAAGTGCAACCCTTAACTAGAATATTCCCATGTTTGAAAAGTTCATACCTGCCGGGCTGTTCACAAAAAAAAAAAAAACTCTCAACTAAAATGGTGCATAGGAATTTCCTTATACTGGCATTATAAGCAAATTTATTCAGTCTTAAGTATTTAATTTAATTAAAATGAAAATTTAAAACTAATAATATAAGAATATAAACAAATTAAAACGAAATAACATAAAAGAAAATAAATTGAAATGAAATTAAATTAAATAAAATACTGTTAAATTTAAAATAATTATAATAAAAATAAAATATAAAAAAAATAAATAAAGTAAAACAAATTATAATAAAGCAAAACAAAACAAGATTAAATTAAATTACATTAAATAAAACCTATGAAAATAAAATAAAAAAGTAATATAAATTAAGTAAAATAAAATGAAATGAAAGAAATTAAAATATAATTAATTCAAAAAATAGTATGAAGTAAAATAAAATAAATATAAAATATGATATAAAATGAAATTCATATAAAACAAAATTAAAAAAATGAAATAAAACAAAGCAAAATAAAATAATATGGAATAAAATAAAATAAATAAATTAAAATAAAATAACGTAAAATAAAATAAAATAAGTTGAAATAAAAGAAAACAAATTAAACTAAAATAAAATTAAATCAAAAATTATATGATGTAAAATAAAATTAAAATGAACTGAAATAAAATTAAAAAAATAAAATAAATTAAAGTAAAATAAAATAAAATCAAAAAGAGTAAAATAAAATAAATAAAATAAAATAAAATGAAATAAAATAAAAAATTCAAATATATAATCAAAATAATATAAAATAAATTAATCCATATAAAAAAATTAATTTATTAAACAGAAATAATATAAAATGAAATAAAATAAAGAAATAAAATGAAATAAATTAAAATAAAATTAAAAAAAAAATAAAAAATAAAAATATAAAATTAAATAAAATAATATAAACGAATTAATTTAATGAAATAAAATATTTCCTACTTCTCTGTAATTCGTAAAAACTTTAATTATGTATTATTATTATTTATACATTATAAATAACAAAAATTTTTGACTTCTAAGGTTATGGTTGATTACTTCGAAGGAAAAGAGGAACCACGCACCGATGCTGATTGGTTGAATGCCAAGGATTACAAGGAAATTCCTGGACCCAGTAATTTTGAATTAATAAGAGGTTATTTTCCAGGAGGTAAAGTTTTTCAAATATAGATAAAAAGTCTTATTTCTAAAAAGAAAATCCATCTATGTAAATCCAAAGGAGCATTATACAAAACGACTATCAAAGAAATGGAAGTACATTTTCGTAAAAAATATGGCGATATTATTCGATTTAACGGCACTGTGGGCAAAACAGATATACTGTTCACCTTTAACCCAGCTGATTTCGAAACAGTCTTTCGCAATGAAACCATTTGGCCAGTACGTGTGGGTTTTCAGAGTTTGGCCTATTATCGGCTGGAAAAGCGTCCGCATATTTTTCACGGTATTGACGGTTTGCTTACTTCGTAAGTTGGCGCATAAGCTACAGGGGCGTTTTCAATTTCATGTTTATGTTTATGTATATGTTTTTTTTTTGTTTTTGGACAGGCAAGGACGTGCTTGGGGCTATATGCGTAATAAAGTTAATCCGGTGATGATGAAAGTGCAAAATATTAGGCCAAACTTGCCAGCAGTCGATGGTATTGCTCAGGAGTTCATAGAGCGGTAAGTACGGAGGAAATTCAAATTGCTGCAGGGTTGAACTGTAGGTTAAATAGGTTTTGAGTGGAGAATATAAATCATATGGGGTATTTCTTAAAATGGATATATGTATATTAATTCATAACATTCTAAGGTCACTTAACTGTTTTGATAAAGTTAATTGAAGTTACTTTAAAATTAGTTGCATTGATTCAAACTTGAAACAATTTAAATAAAAAATTTAATCGAACAAGGCATACACTTAATAATACTTTTCATTTGTATACTTCTGCCCTCAGACTCGATGCAATACTAGATCCTCACACTGGCAGATTATCGACTGATTTCAGCGAAGAGGCTAAAATGTGGGCTTTCGAAACTGTAGCACTTGTGGCGCTCAATACCCGCCTGGGGCTGATGCCGCGCGAAAAATCCAATGCTATGGCGTTAAGGCTATCCGAGAGCATAGCTGAATTTTTTAGTCTATGCTATTACTATGAGGTGATCCCACCCTTTTGGAGATATTTCGAAACAGCAGGATTTAAGAAGCTCATAAAAGCTTACGATTCAATTACTGAAATCACAACACATTACATTGAAAAAGCAATGGAGCAGTTCGATCAAAGCGCCGAAGGGAAGAGCGTGCTGGAGAAGTTGTATCGCATAGATAAGAATGTTGCGGTGGTTATGGCCATGGATATGTTGATGGCTGGCATGGATACGGTATATACATACAATATATTTTTTGTACACCTTATATTAATTGCATATATTTTTTAAATTTTTGTATAATATTATGTATTTATCTTTTCATTTTGGTTTATCGCTCAACAGACTTCCTCTGCATTGATTTCCACGCTATACTTCCTCAGCATAAACCCGGAAAAGCAAGAAGAATTACGCAAGGAATTAATAGCGCTGCTGCCCGAACCAAATATGCCCTTAACTGAGGAGAACACCAAAAATATGCCCTATTTACGTGGCTGCATTAAGGAGACGCTACGCTTTAGACCGATTGCCAATGGAAACTTCCGTATCGCCGGCCGTGATCTCGTGCTCTCCGGTTATAGGGTACCCAAAGGTGTTGGTGTGTATATGGCAACCATGACACTCTCAAACAGCGATGAATACTTCGAACGTAGTGCTGAATTTTTGCCAGAACGTTGGATCAAATCGGCGAAAGCCACTTGCCCAGTCTCCCAAAAGCACAATCCATTCGTTTACTTGCCATTTGGTTTTGGGCCACGCACTTGTATTGGCAAACGTCTGGCGGAGATGGAATTGGAAACGATTTTGGTGCGAATATTACGTAGTTATCGTGTCAGTTGGGTGGGTGAGAAACCATTGGAATATATTAACAACTTGATTTTGCAACCGGCTGGGGAAATGAGCTTTAAATTTGAAAAATTGTAATGTGAAAATGTTTAGTAATATATGAAAATCTCGCCTCATGGGAGTATATGTAAACATTATATGTATGTACATACCATATGTTGTAATTAATTATATTTGTTGCTTAGTTTCTTTTTTAATTGTAATACATAAACTTGAAATGTATTAACAATTGACGTTTGTACAATATAATTCACATATTTTCGATGAAAAATATAATAATATTGAGTCGTGTAAAATTTTTCAAAATACTTTCGGAACTTTATTTTGTTTGATCTTTAAGTGTTGGGAGCTTTTCTACATTTTTCTGCTCACTAAGCTCATTGGCCTGGCAAAGTTTACGGGATTGACTGTGCATTTCGACATACAAAAAATTAAATATAAATATTAAAAATAAAGAAATTAAAAAACTTCAAAGCCCAAAAGTCCAAATTATTTTATAGCATTGCATATCATAGACTCAAAACACATCACACAATAACTCCTCTTAAAGACAAGGGAAATTAAAGAAAAAAAATGATAATAAGAATTATGCAGACAACCGTAAATACATAAATTTCATTTTATATTGAATTGAAAATAAAAAAGGAAGTATAATTCTGACAGCTAGTGTAAAATATAAAATTATATTAAATTAATGAACATTTCGGAAGCAGAGAAGTACCTACTTATTATTTTGACAGCTCTGTTGCTTCCTCAAACCACTTCAAAACAATTTTCCGCTAGTCAATGTATTCTTTACTCACACGTGCAATAGACACATAAAAAATTTATCTACCAAAACCAGAGTACAATGATAAATGACTTGACTTTTGTATTGCGACGCTGCCAACACCCGCATGCCCGCCACTCTTTACTCACACTCTGCGTACACTCACTTCCACTGTCTTAAATTTACTATTCACGCTATAAAGTTTGCTAATTTTTTTTTTGCCTTTGTTTATTTCCCCCTTTGGTCGTAGTTCCGCTTTATTCACTTGTGAGATGTTTCTAATTGTCATTTGCTCACCATTTCCTTGTCTTCTTGACTGCGTGGCCAAAGTGTTAAATTAACGAGTATTTCGCCCATTTCTCGTTCTGGATGATTTATATCACGCAATGGCAGGCTGAGATCTTCTGCTTTACCCAATTCCAATTGGGTTAAATCGATTTTTGCTGAACCCATAAAATCGTCTTGCAGTCCCCAATCGTAATCGAAAACCTGTAAAAAGAAATTTAATGACGACTGATTTAATTGAAAGAAGTGTTAGGGGTTCGCAAGAGGTTTAACTTCTATTGGAAATCGCAAAGTTGTTATGTTTTTTCATATTATATAAATTTATATTAATTCAAGTAATTTTAATCTTTTCTATTTTGGTTTACGTCATTTTCTTATTTTTATTTATTTATTTGAGTTCAGTTGATGTTTAATTTTTTGATTATTTAATCTTATTTAGATTTATTGTACCTCATTTTATTTTATTTTATTTAAATAAATTTTTTTTTTACTCGCGCTTACTTTAAGTATTAATATTATGTAATTTCATATAATATAGAAAAGTGTGATGACTTCACTAGCTTCAAAAAATATATGGTTTGAGACAGTTCCATAAAATTAAAGACCAAAAACAATTAAACAAAACAATGACCTGAAAATGTAATATAATTGAAATTAGCTTTATTCGACTTGATTTTAATTGATTATATTATATTTACTATCTATTTCAGTCAATTTTGTTTTACTTAAATTTACATATTTTTTATTCGGTATTCTAAATAATTTTATTTCATTATACTTAGCTTAATTTAGATTAATTTTATTCTGTTTATTTCATTTTATATTATATTATTAATTTTTTTTTTTACTTTATTATAAATTTGTTTTATCTGTTTTTTGCTTCATTTTATTTGTTTCGTGTTTTTAATTTATTTTTTTTTGCTTAATTTCATTTTATTTTATTTTGTTTTATTACGTTTTATTATGTTTCATTTGCTTTTATTTTTTTTTTAATTAAATTAATTAATTTTTTTTTCATTTTTAAATCTACAATATTTCGTTTTGTTTTATTTCATATCTTATACTTTATTTTTTTTTTCAAACTTTTCATATTATATTATCCATTGTTTATTTAATTTATTTTGATTTTAAGTCATTTTATTTTATTTTATTGTGTTTTATTTCTTAATTATTTTTATTTTATTTCACTTTCTTATTTATTCTGGTTCAGTTTACTTTACTTGATTTTATTTTACCTTCTTTTATTTTAAGTTATTAAGTTTGAATTAAATTAATTTTATTTTATTTAATTTTATTTTTTTACTAATTTTTCAGTTTATTTTATTTGATTTAGCCATATTTTATTTTATTTGCTTATGTTATTCTGTTGTATTTTACTTTACTTGATTTTATTTTACTTTCTTTTATTTTAAAATATTAGTTTGAATTAAATTATTTTAATTTTTAATTAATTTAATTGTTTTTAATTTAATTTAATTTTTTTTACTTTAAATTTTTTAGATAATTTTTAATTAACTTTCCTGTCATAATTTTATTTTATTTTACCTTCCTTAATGTTTTAATTTTATTTTATTTGATTTTATTTTTTACTTATATTTCATTTTATTTTATTTTCTTATTTTATTCTGTTGTATTTTACTTTAATTGATTTTATTTTACTTTGTTTTATTTTAAGATATTAAGTTTGAATTAAATTGTTTTTGTTTTTATTTAATTTAATTGTATTTAATTTAATTTAATTTTTTATACTTTAATTTTTTTGAATAATTTTTATTTTACTTTCTTGCCTTAATTTCATTTCATTTTAATTTACTTATATTTTTAAATTTTATTTCACTCGATTTTATTTTCTGACTTATTTTTCATTTTATTTTCTTTCACTTAATTTTACTTCAATTAGCTTTAATTTATTTTTTTTTCTTATTTTATTCGGTTATATTTTTTTTTGCTTTTTTTTATTTTTTATTTTTTTTGTTTTATATACCTTCATTTCATTTTATTTTAGTTATTTTATTTAACTCTCTTATTTATTTGGTTGTTTTTATTTTATTTGATTTTCTTTTATTTCATTTAAAGTTATTTAATTTTATTTCATTTAAATTAATTTTGTTTAATTTACTTTAATTTTGTTTAATTCAATTTTGTTGTAATTTATGTAATTTTATTTAGTTTCTTAAATTTTTTTAAATTGTTTTATTTTTTATAGTGTTTAATATTATTGTAATTTACCTTATCCTCCAGTATGTTTTATTTTAGTTATACTTAAATTATTTTTAGTGTTATTTTGTTTCATATAATTCAATAACATTTTTTTTATTTTAAATACTATTTCAACTTGTTGTATTTCTAAACACATTTTTTAACTCCTTTTTAATTTTGCTTGGTTAGTTTTTTGGTTTCAGTTTATGAAAATATTTATGTATTTGCCAAAATTTTAATTGAAAATATCTTTGGGTGGTCGCCATGTTGGCACTTCCGCTTCTACCATTGTTTACAAATTTGATTCCAGCGATTTTTTCCTTGTTTTTATTAACAGCTGTTCGTTGCTATTGTTTTTTTACCGTTGAAAAATATTTTCATTTCATTTTTTTCCATTTTTCTCCAATGCTATTCTGTGGTCTTTTGTTTGTGCTTTTGTCTACATGCGAACTTTCGCAAGGAAAACCTTGTTATATAAATGTGAACATAAAATGAATTGGTAGTTTTATGAATGAACAAAATGAACGAAATTTGCTTTCATAAAAGTAATTTAATAACAATTTTGATTGCATTATAAGACACACTAGATGATTGTATAAATACATTTTGTTAAATTCTTCTTGAATTTGTAAAAAAAAAATTTGTATAAATAAACACTTTCTAGTTTGATATGCATATTGAAATATATACATACGTAAGTATATATGAAGGAAAATCTTAAAATATTGTATACAGCTTTTGAGCAGCTATTTCATTAACACTGTTGGTTTTCTTCTCTAATTTGTTTCTCATTTCTGTGTCCAGTATATACGTATATATACCCATGGTATATGTATGCAACATCATAAACGCACACATCTGACAAAAGCCAATAAAAGTCATTTGTAAACATTGGAGACACGACTTTTACATGTGTATAATATTGAAAAACTTTTTTACATTAAACATGTATGTAAACATGTACGAGACACATTATTGGTAAAAGATAAACAATTTTGGAAACGTTTAGTTCAATGTGTTGACATATGTACGTAGTGCGCACACGAGCACCTGCCCAGCAGTAAAGGACGCTAGCAGTTAAATATTTACACTATTGATTAAGTGAGCATAGCGACAACTTACGCAACATCATCTGTCGGATAACTTATGCATCAGATTCACACTAGTTGAGTACTAGTCCATTTGTTCACGTTGAAATGCTGCTTCGCATTTGGCTAGTGATAGTCAAGTCAAACGTATAGCACCGGAATGCAGTCTTGAAAAGTAGTGGTGTAATTTTAATATTATCCCCCCTCCGGTTTTTATAATTTTTTGTATTAATATTTCAGCTGTGATCCCGCAGAGTGAATAAAATGACTTTAATTGATGCAATAAGAAAGTTATGATAAGAAATCAAACATCTGAATAATCATTCGTGCGTGAGCTGTATGATGTAAGCAAATTGCCATTGCATGCCAAATTTCTCTTGGTTAAGGTTTTCAAACAGTCAGCTCTTCATACTGATCATGTAAGTAAACATTTTTATGTTATCTTTTCACCATTTGGTCTTTGAATACTTCGGATCATGCTTAAAATAAATTTCATATGACGGCACTGACGGAAAAAATATTTCCAGATACAAAAGTCAGAGATTTGTCAGTACGATGAGATTTCGGAATATATCATAAATTGCAACGGTACTTTTTAAATGAAAGCACAAGATTCCAGCGTCGAAAACTGTGAGCCTCACAAAGTATTACGAATTTAGGACAGAAATGATGTTTGAATGTTAAATGAGTAGAAAGAGGTATCCTTGCAGAGATCTTACACAGCGATAGTCCAGGCGATCACACCTTATGATAATCTTATGTGCTCAAAGACTGCAGAAGTTGCAGTTCTTCAGAAACACTTTCTCTGTTTAGTCTTAAGCATCTAAGAGTTACGCTTTTCGGGGAACTAAAGCAAAAGTTCCTTTACGCGGGCAGGGCCACACATCTTGCGTAGGAAGGAAGGAAATTATATAGTCATTTCATTATCTATATACCGCACCGGTTAGAATGACGAATTTAGTTGATTTCGTACCGACCATCTTCTCCCCTTGTCTATTTTTGAGTAAACTATTCTCTCACTTTTTGAGATATTTCAACCAAACTTGAAACATATTTGATTATTTGTCGGGTCACTTTAGCATATATGCGATCGTTTTTAATTTTTGAAATTTACGGGTCATAGAATTTGTGCCGAAAATTGTGGAAATTGGACGACTATAACATACGATATTCATATACTTCCTAGACCCTGAGCTTTTCAGTTATGGAACTGTGGTATTCGGCATGACCTCAGACAGCTCTTCTTCATTGTTATATTATTTATATTTCTGTTTTAAAATATATTAAGTAACCGTTTTCCGCTATTTACTTAATTTATTTATTATTATTATTTTAATAATAAATTTTTGTGCTTGCGTTTAAAAAAAGTATGAACAGTTTTTTGCCTGGTGAATGGGCTACTCACCTTCACATTAATCGGCAGAAAAGGATCTTCTATGGGCACAATGAACACTTCATCCCACACCGGACTCAGGTCACGGTGAATTGTGCGTGATTTATGCAGCAAGCGACCGCCAACTTTGAATTTAACATAAGGATCACTTAAGCCTGTATAAAAGTAAACAAACCAAAAATATTAAAAATAAAATTAAAAAAAAGCAGACTAAAGTGAATATATGTTGATAATTATTAAATAATTGCATACTGAAAAGAGCATTTATATAAAGTGCTTACAAACCGTAGTAATAACGGAAATAAATTGGATAAATTAAAGGAAAAGTTGCTTGCTATAAAATGTCCACTCAACTCACCATTTTTGTCCATGGCCATTAAATCGCTACCGCTCTTGAGATGAACGCGCAACTGAAAGAAGACGTACTGACGTAATTGTGCTTCCTTTTTGCGGCGCAACTCTTCCGCCTGGCAATTTCAGAACGTTAGTATGGTTTTGTGTGTGAGAAGACAAGAAACAAGGTGGTGAAAGTAACAAATGAAATTAGTTTAGCCAAAGCAAGTGACGACAAACAGCGGATAGTAAATGAGTGAGAGCAAAGCGGGCGAAGAGCGAGTGTGCCGGAGTAAATGCAAAACAGATTAAATTTGAATTAATGCCAGCAATGCAGATGCGGAGTAATTTTTGGATAGAAGGACAAAAGTAAGGTAAATAATAGATATGCGTGGATAATAAGTGTATTACGTGTATATATGCACATACATATATAATTTGTAACGAAAAAGTGCAAGCATGCGTGGTGTGTAAAGTATTATAATAGAAATCGAAAGCGAAATATATTTCAATTGTGCTCTCATAGAAGAGGAATTAAATTTTGAGGACTTGGAAGAGTAGCACCACAAGAAGGTATAAGGAGAGATAAAGAAAGTGCGAAGTAAATTGTGATGAAAATAGAAAATACGGAATCGATAATATATTGATAATTTGTGGTAGAAATTGTTTTTTGTAATTATGAGTGATGTAAGTTAGGGCTGGGAACTTATAACGTGGCTACATTGCTCGATTATTTAAGTTAAAAAATTAAAATATATAAAAAATTTAAAAATTTATATTTTTTGAATAACCTTTCTCGTGAAAGAAACATTTATTGTTTAAAATTATAACTTCAAATTTTCACGGAAAAAATTCATTTCGTTAAAGAGCCGTGATTAGTTATTAAATGAAACATTTGGCATAATGAGACATATTTAAATTTAGTTTTTTTAACAATTCCAAACAAAACGCCAAAAAATATAAAATAAACTTAATTTAAATTCCAATTAGAAAATTCTAAAATGTAAAAATTAAAAAAAAAAAAAAAAATTCAACCTCACAGTGAAATTTTATCATAAACGTATGTTTACATATAGATGATTATAATTTTTATAGAGATTTCTCCCGTAGCCGCCTTCAAAGTGCTAGAACTGCTACGTTTGAAAATTCAAAGAAAAGTCCCGCAGCAATATTATCCCCTAAAGCTTGAATTACTTTTTTATTGAAAAAAAATCTAAAAATAGGGTTATCCATTTTTCGGTTTCTAAAATAAATTGCATTTAACTTTTTTTTTTTTTTGTAATTTCTCTTTTATTATAAAGCCATGAATTTGACATTTTATGTGAAACACTGAAATACACGCATCGTGAATTTTCGCAAGCCTCGATCCGTTTGAAGTAATTTTCGACCACTTTTTGACACATTTCTGGTCAGTCGTAACTTGAGGAGTGGTAATAATTAAATGCTCAGCTGTTAAAGGATTATCCGTATAAACACGATCTTTCGCGTTGCCCTACAACTAACAGTATAACGATACTCAATCGCACGATCCCGATCAGCTGAAACGGTAAATTCTCTCACCATAAAGGCATCTCCGCTCGCATTGATTAGCATGTATCACGACCATCGTGTTCTTGAATTGTAGGCAAAAACAAAAAGTCGATTATCATACGACCATAACGCTCCGATTTGCCAGTGACAGTCTCTCCATTGTAGTTTTGAAATAAGCGACTATACCTCCGCACTAAAGAGCGTTGCCAGACTGTAAGCTTTTTAAAGTGTTAAGGTTGCTATTCTACAGTAACAGTAGCGATATTTGAGGTGCAGTGGGCAAAGCGATAAACAGCGGCCTGACAGGGCGATTATGAGCACCAAAATCTCATCTTAAAGCACGAAATGTGGTAACGTTTTAGTCTCCATTTCAACAATTTTAACGTCTTGTGCGGTTGTTAAGCGATGCAATTACAAAAATTACTAACTGATAGTTAAAACTAAACATGTTTGGTTTGTTATTTATGTGTAATAAATGTAAAATTATAACACAGTATTTTTTGAACGGCAAAATGGATAAACCTATTTTTTTGAACACAATTTCATATATGCTTTCAAAACTCAAAGATCTCCTTACAAAAATCTCGCCCGCCAACTCACATATGTAAACAAAGTTTTATGCTCTGCCAATAATGCATTTTAAAGTTATTTCACTTGAATAGTTCGAACATAAATTGTCTCGTCATCGTTTTTTATTATCCCAACACTCACCTGCAGCGCTTCCATTTGTTTCCCCGACACATAATCATCCATTGCCACACCACTACCCGCACCAGTACCACCATTACCCGCCATCGCACTACCATTACCATTACCATTCTCAGGTTGCTCTTCGATGCGTCCCTCCATTGAACCACCGAAACGATGTATCATTTGTGCCATTCTCGCCGAGGCGCTAAACTCTTTCGCCAATGGCGAACCACCTATCGTTGTGGCACGATGTCGTGGACTTTGTGTAACCGAACTGCTCTCCGAACTATAATCGGCCGCATAATCAGTGCTCTCTTCGAGAAAATCACTTGGTGACTTACGACCTGAACGATCCTTACTTTTCGCACGATTCCAACGATGTTTTAACGTGCTAAAGAAGCCATGGGTCTTGTGGAAGACATTGCCAGCACTCGAACCGCCCGACCCAGCACCACTAATACCACCACTACTATGCGTTGTAGCGGCGCTTTTGGCACGTTTCGGTGATGTGCGTGGTGAATCGCGTTCACTGTGGCAGTCGTGACCATTCAATTCCGATGCGGATTTACTCAAGTGGCGACCCAATCGTTGTGTGAGTTGAGGTGAGCCATGCGGTGTGGCACCCTGTGATGCTTGGCCGCCGTTGTTGCTGTAATACTGATGTGTGCTATATTGGCCAACAGCACCACCACTGCCGCTCGGTACGTCGTCACTGTAATGGATACGCGCTGAAAGTAAATGGAAAATGAGAGAAAGTGAAAAAAGTGAAAAAAACGAGAATTTTATCAATAAGTTTGCGAACGTAGCTGTGTCGATGAGTGAAGGGATTTATTATTGCGATATTGAAAAGACGCCTCGAGCTATTGCTGTGTATTTACTACGACCGGTTGGGCTGGCGGAAAAGCTAATAAATTCTCAAAGGATTTTGTGGTGTCGTTGCAAAGGATTTAAAAAGCCTCAGCAGGGACAGGGTCGCGCTTAAATAAGCAGGTAAGCTGATAAAGTGTTGGCATATGCTCAAGTGCAAGTAAGATAAATAAGTGCGGAAGAACTTCGGCGTTTAAACTTTAATTTATACATAATTGGCTCTTGGCGTCGAAGGCAGTTATTCATGGCGTTGAAGATTTTCTTTGCTGCGCACGTTGTACATATAAGTATGTATAATTGTGCTTCATAGCGGCGCAACTGAAGACATTCCAATACCTGGACATGGGTTTACGAATAATTTTTCTGGTATTGCAAAGGTCCGATTAGAGTGGCAGCTCTGAGGGGCTCTTGTGACAGGCGTTCAACATGTCTGATTTCCAACTGCTGCAAAGTAACCCAGAAGAGCTGTTGAAAGCTTTCGAACATGTGATCCTGCTGTAGCCCAAAGTGTTGAAGTAAACCCAGGATTGCCCATTTTTTATCGTTCTTCGGAATTGTGCATTCCACAAACGTGATAACACCGTATTTTGTATGAAGATTAGAGTCTTAAGGCTCATAAAGTTCAGTTAATACAAGAATTCAAGCCGACCGAACATCGACAACGTCGTGTCTTTGCTTATCTTGCCTGGTGCAGCATATTTCAACTCTGGAGCACGGAAATCTCCAGATTTATTACTGAAAAGCCTCTTCATTCTCAATATGTATGTATTTGCTGTGCTTTAGAAAGTTGATCGGTTGATACGGCTGACGTTTGCTTTCAACGAAACGGCGCTGAGTGCTATGACAAAGCAACGAAACTATCGCTCTTTCAAGGGAGAAGTTTCCGGATCGTGTTATCTCTCGAAGAGGTGATCGCAATAGGCCATCGAAATCTTGTGATTTAACAACTTAACATCTTCTTTGGATCCACTTGAAAAAAAGGTCTAAGCCAACAGTTTTACAAAGATGGACTTCGTAAAGCTATGGAGGTAAACAGCAGTTAATTTGATATTTGGTGATGTAAGATTTCATGAAAAAGCATAAGATTCTGTAATCCGCCACTATTTAGCTGATATTGGTTTCCATTTTCGAAAGCATTACCTTCTCTTTACATGCATGGAAGATCTATATCAGACTCCCCAGGGACCTATCCAGTTAAACTTAAATTAACCTAACCTAACCTAACCTAACCTAACCCATACTTGGTATGTTTGACTTGCTGCCCTTAAAATAGTAATTTCCCAAAAAGAAATCATGGAAGAATAATCCAGTTGTTCGACTATCAAAGATGTGGGATGATCAAACTAAGACTCACTAACTTGCTGCTCCTTTAAGCCCGAGATAAGGAACATTCACTCATTTTACTCGCAGAAGCTAACGTGACTCCCAAAGATGTTTTTCTTGCTTTCTCAAAAAGAGTCGCTTGGATTAGCACTGTTCAATGTTGATTTTTAAAGATTAAAGAGAATTTAGTTTATTGTAGGAGACTAATGACTGCAAATAACCCCACAAGAAGTAGTCTAACGGTGCCAAAACACATCTTCTGGGAGGCTATTCAATGTCACATATTCTCGAAATAATCGAATCTCCAAACTTTTCTCGGAATACTTCGATTATTGCATGTGCTGGGTGACACAAAGTCTTGTTGGCACCAGATATTGTTAACATCAACTTCTTCCAATTGTGGCCCTAAAAAGTTGGTTATCATCGATCTGTACCGCTTTCCATTGACAGTAACGTTGCTGCCAGTTTCATTACGAAAGAAGCACGGACAGATGATTCCACCAGACCAAAATCACACCAGATCAAAAATCACACCAGACTGTCAATTTCGTTGAATGTATAATTTGAAGATTTTCTACGCATCAGAAACGACAGGTTTGTTTATTTACCGCATCACTCAGATAAAAGTGAGCCTCATCGGAGAATATGACTTTCTTAATAAAATCGTTATCGTTTTCGAGTTGTTGTTGTTTGTAAACGTTGTACTTGCGTATATCTTGCCATGGTGAAATTGTAAACATTACTGAATAAAAGGAAAATAAAAATGACCAAAAAGACACTTAGAAACCATTTCATCCCTATTGGAAAACCCTTTATAAGTTGAGTGAGGCAACAGTCTTTTACTTTTACCACTTCAAACACTCTTTATGCCTATTCAATTGAGTGTCTTTGATGTTCGAGAGCTTTTGCACGCAGGTAACTGTATACCCGAAACGGCAACGATTTTTATATGAAATTTACAATACAAATACATATGTACATACACAGGTGGTAACAAAAAAATTTCATTCATTGCACATAAAAAGCACAAAACAATAGCAGTCTTTATACTCGTGCGCCCCTTTGCTGTTGTTAAAAACTCATATGCGAAAATTTTCATTCATTTCGGCAATGCTTTTCTTTTGAGCCATGAATGGCAACTGAGCAGATTAGCTTTGAGTGTGTGTGGGAATATTGCATATGTACATATGTATGTATATATGTAAGCGCGTAGTCTATTCTTAAGAAAATAATGGCATACTCTTCTCAGAAAAAAAATATTTATAATAGAAATAAAAGAAATGAAAATAAAAAGCAAAAAGCTCGCACATTTCCTTATATTTTTTTGCACTTGTTTACTTATGTTTGTTATGAGTATGACGTCAAGTTTTACAATTTTTTTGAGCTTGAATAATTTTTCGCTTAAATATGTTAACGCTTTAAGGTTTTCTTTTATATTTTAAGTTTTTGCTGCTTTTGAAATGAAATAAATTTAAACCAAAAAAAAAAAAAAAAAAATTTTAACTAAAACAACAACTCACCTCCATGTACCTGTTAAAAATCAATGTCTATCATATTTTCGTCTTTGACTTTATCAAACTACCGCGCAAACATTCGCATATACATTTGGATGTATGCCAGCTGCCACTCAGATGAAAATTTAAAGCTTCAGATTAATGTAGTGGTGAAATAATGAGTATGCAAGATTTTGAGTACTTTGAAGGGAAAAATTAATTTTTAAATACTATCTGATTGGTTTTATGTGATCTCTTGACCTTAAACTTGATTATGTTTTTGATATCCGCAATTGAGCTTGTAAAAATCATTAAATAGTCTAAAAATGAGTATAAATTATACATTGTTATACATTTCGTGGTCTAAAAAAATGGATCTTTGCGAGGCTCTCTTTTCCGTGTTGTGGTATTTCACATATAATATCAAAATTCGAATCTCAAAAGCACATTTGTTAAAAATAAAAAATATTTTAAATGCATTTGATTTACGAAATTTTCGTATACGCAAAACGAATAACCCTGTTTATACTAACTGACCAAGCGAATTTGGCGTAAAATATAGATAGTTCAAATCTAAATGTGAATTATTTGAATGGACTCGAAATCAATAGAGAGCGGTATTGTGGAGTCCAATTACTTTTTCGGCGCAAGCACAAACAACAAAGACGATTTTATAGTCTAATAGAACTTATTCGTCAAGAAAACAACTCTCATATGAAAGCAAACCGAACCATGAATACGCTTTTTCGGAGTTGTGCCGAAAATAAGAGTTTTTTTAATCTAAACAAATGGTTGCCTATATACCAAAATTTCAAATAAATCCAACCAAAAATTGCGATTCATTTGGAATTAGTCAGTCGGTTATCTTAACGGTGTAAAAAGTATATTTTGGCCAGATATAAAATTTTTTTAATACTTTGCAATATTAGACATATTCGAATATTTAGTATTATCTTCTTCTTCTTAATTGGTATAGTAAACGCCCACACGACTAAACTCGAGTCAAAAATATCAAGCGTGTCGTTACTTTCTGTCGCCATTCGCCATTGAGACACCAATTGAAGTCACAACCTTCTCTCTTTGGTCTTACCAATGGATTGAAGATCATTTTTTTCTCTTTGTTTCTATGTGATTATGATCCCATCATGAAACCTGTTGTAAATCATGGTTTATTAAAGCTTACAGATTTCATAGGCAGGCATTTCGGTCTATCCTTTCTTTTTGCCAACAAATGCATCTTGCTTCTCTATTCAGTTCTCAGCATCTATTCCATCACGTCTTTTTCCACCAGCACCATACCGTAATCCTTATCGAAATTCTTTAAAGCCATTTGGTGCGTAAGGTTTAACAAATGTGAGACACAGTTCCCTTAAACCGAGTTGCTTATGAGTGCTCAGTGTGTGCAGGCTGAGTAGAAAACTGGCTTGCTGTCTACCCTGATCGCAGCTTTTTTGATGATGAGCATGCCTTGTGTTTACTGCACTGTAATAAGATAGTAAGCCGAGTTAATATTAAGTCTTTGGAACTCACGGATATCTAGAAGACCAGAGTCATATCTTCCATCCAAAACAATATGATATATTTTTTGTGTGACAGCCATGAAGCTTGATGATTTTTCTTGTGTCGCGTAAGAGGTAAAGAAAACAACAAACCAACCAAACTAACACATTTATTAGCAAAAATAATATCATAGTTATTGAGGTCACTGGGATGGAGAAAGAGAGCGAAAATGAGCGGCGCAAACTGCTTCGTGTGGGTATATATTTGTTGAGTGTAAAAAAAACGTTATGAAAGTTGCCAGCGAAAGCGAAAGTGAACAGACATCTCGTTGCTTCGAGACTGTCTTTAAAGTAAATGCGACGTTCTTCCCAATCAGAATAAAAAGTGGCCAAAACACAGTAAGCTACAATAATACGTGAACGGATCTGCTAGTTTGCAAAAGTTACCTGGATGCACTTTATTTGGTCTGCTACAGCAAGCGCAAAGTGTTGTAGGACACTTAAATTTTTTCTTATACTGTTTCTGCAATACTTCGGCGGCCATAT